TAAGAGCCATTGCCCCGGCCCCCTGCACGCCTGTCAGGCCACAGCACTGGCCACGACCTTCTTGTCTCTAGACAGGGAGCATAGCATGGTGAGGGATTCAAATGCTGGTGGTGGAGCCAGACTGCCTAGTTCTTTACCTGGCCCTGCCTCTCACCTGCTGCATAACCTGGGGTGAGTCACCTAGCCCCTCTGAGCCTCACTCTGCTCACAGGTAAAATGGTAACAATAATAATAATAGTCCCTACGTCACAGGGTTCCTATGAAGATTAAACGAGCAAGGGCAATAAGGCACTTAACCCCATACCTGGCGCAGAGTTAAAGGCTCCATGGGTTTTTAAATGTGATTCTAATTAAACTGTGAAATGGGTTAAATCATGAAATGGATTTTTAAAAAATCGGTCAAGAGATCTGACTGCAGGGGTTGTGTCTAGATTTTGCTCAACCATAAGCTTAAGAAAACTCCCAGCTGAGGATTGCAGCTGTGTTTACTGGGCTTTAGTGCAAAGTTTCTTTCCACACAGAGAGGGTTCAAAATCTCCAAACCCCAGTGGCATGTTCCTGGCTGTCCAAGTTCAGCCTTGCTGAGAGCCCTCAGAGCCCAGAAAACAGCAAAGTTACCAGAGGGTTGCTGTGCACACACAGGAGGCCAGCTCGTGAAAGGTAAAACCCAAGAGGAACCTTTGAGGCCCCCTGGGTGGGAAAACTGGGCCCAGGAAGGGGTAGACCCTTACCCTGACCCCTGAGAAAAAAGACTTAGCCAGTGGAAGCTCCTCAAGAAGTCAGTTATCTGGAGCCAAGGGGTGGTACAGATCTGGGACCCAGATCCCCAGCTTGGGGTCCCGCTTTCAACTTTGGGGTCCCCAGCAGACCTTGTTCTCCGCTGATGGGAGCAACAGGGCTCCAAACACGAGGGGGGGAGAGGGTGTGAGAGATAGTGCCAAAGAGTGGGTCTTCATTGTTTGTTTTTATTTTTTTGTTTTGTTTTTTTTTTTGAGTTGGAGTCTCACTCTGTAGCCCAGACTGGAGTGCAGTGGCCGCTCCCAGTCACCGCAGCCTCGACCTGCTGGGCTCTGGCGATCCTTCCGCTTCAGCCTTCCGAGTAGCTGGAATTACAGGCATGCGCTACCATGCCCGGCTGATTTTTTGATTTATTGTAGAGATGAGATCTCGCCAAGTTGCCCAGGCGGGTCTCGAACCCACGGGCTCAGGCAATCTACTCACTTCAGCCTCCCAAAGGCGTGGGATTACAGGCTGAGCCACTGAACCCGGCTTGTTTTTAATTAAAAAAAATTTTTTTTTTTTTTTTTGAGTCGGGATCTCACTCTGTCACCCAGGCTCATCACAGCTCATAGCAGCCTCGACCTGCTGGTCTCAGGCAGTCCTTTCACTTCAGTCTCCTGAGTAGCTGGGACTATAGGTGGGTGCCACCACACCTGGTTTTTATTTTATTTTTTCTTTATTTTTCTTTCTTTATTTATTTGGTAGAGATGAGGTCTCGCTATATTGCCCAGACGGTCTCAAGCAGTCCTTGCTTCAGCCTCCCAAAGTAATCAAACTTTTTATTTGAGATCACTGTGATTCACGTGCAGTTGTAAGAAATAATACAGAGATATCCCACTTACCCATTACCCAGTTTCCCCAAATAGTGACATTTGCAGAACAATAGGAAAATATCACAGCCAGGATATTGACATTGACCTAGTCAACTCACAGAACATTCCTGGGACCACAGGGACCTCATGTTGCCCTTTTTTGGTCACATTACATTCCCTTCCCTCCTCACCCCCCACACCCGCCTCAGTCCTGACTGCCACAAATCTGTTCTCCATCTCTCTAACTTTGTCACTTCAAGAACATTACATAAATAGAACCACGCAGGAAGTAATCTCTGGGGACTGATTCTTTGGTCTTGGGTTTGGAATGGGCTTGTTTTCTGACCAGTGTTCTGTGCTTAGGCTTGGTTTGGTTTGGGAGGAAGGGTCCTGGCTAGCTCCTTCCTGGGTGGCCAGACATATTCCTGGGCCTTTTGGTGGATTTAGATCTTTTTTTTTTTTTTTGAGTCGGAGTCTCACTCTTGTCACCCAGGCTGGACCTGCTGGGCTCAGGCGATCCTTCTGCCTCAGCCTTCCAAGTAGCCAGAACTACAAGGCATGCACTACCATGCCCAGCTAATTTTCTGATTTATTGTAGAGACGAGGTCTCACCAAGTTGCCCAGGTTGGTCTCAAACCCCTGGGCTCAGGTAATCCTCTCGCCTCGGCCTCCCAAAGTGCTGGGATTACAGGTGTGAGCCACCACACCCAGCCAGATTTAGACCTTAAACTCTTAAAAGTAAAGGTTGTTGTGATTGGGCCAGAATTGCCACTTGAGGGGGAAGGTTTGGGCCCTTTGAGCCTCAGTGTCCCCCTGTGATATGGAGCTCTTCTCCTGGTCTCTGGCTGTAGTTCCCAGCAGGGGCCTGACACATCTGGCAGCTGGGCCCCAGGCCCAGAATAGGCCATTGTGTAAACAGGACTTACGTGATCAAGACATCAAGACTCAGAAAACAAAGCCAAGAGCAGGAAGCTGCTTGGGCCACTAGAGTAATTAAACTGGGAAGCAGACTCCCAGGGGTCTTCTGTGCCCTGGACTCTCTGGGTCAGCAGGGCAAAGCATCAGGCCTGACTCAGGAAGGAGGCGGTCATAAGACAGATCCCCCGCAGCCATGACAGGGATGGAGCTCCCCCACCCACAGGTCCCACAATCCCCCAGGAGCCCTGGAAGCAGCATTGGGTGGGGTGGTGCTGGTCAGGGCAGGTTGGTCCCTCTTGGCACCAAGACCCCAAACAGCAGCAGCTTAAACAGGAAAGGAAGTGACTTCCAGGCATCAAGACACCCATCTTGCTCCTTGATGCTTCCAGGTACAACCCTTGTCCACCTGGCCTCAACTTTCTTTCTAAAGGGACAAGGGGAAGGCAGGTCCTTGATGTACGGTGCTCACAATCCTTCTGTTCACTTCTGACCAGCCAGAACTTGGTCACATGACTATACCCAGCTGCAAGGGAGGCTGGGAAGTGTAGTCTTTTCTTTAGTCTGGGTAGTTGTGTATCCAACTAAACGTCAAGGTGCTATGGGAGGGAACAGGAGTTGGGGCAACTAATAACAGGCTAGCTATTAAACTTCTCTGTGCCTTAGTTTTCTCATCTGTATAAAGGGGAATAATGAGAGCCATTCTTCATGCAGGGAGTTATCAAGGTTTAATCATGTAAAAACATTGGCCAGGTGCGGTAGCTCACGCCTGTAATCCAGCACTTTTTGAGGCCAAGGTAGGAGGCTCACGTGAGGCAGGAGTTTGACACTAGCCTGAGCAACATAGCCAGACCCCATGTCTACAAAAAATATATTAAAAATCAGCCGGTGTGGTGGTGTGCTCCTGTAGTTCCAGCTACTCAGAAGACTGGGGCAGGAGGATTGCTTGAGACAAGCAAATAGGAAGTGCTCAGACATGGCTATTTGTATTGCTCAGTGAGATCCTGCATGGAGCAGTTCAGTACCATGCTGGGCAGAGTACCTCAGTGGATGGTGCTGCTGTTGCCGTGGGTCTCGTTGTTAGTGTCAGGGCGTGACCGGGGCTCTCTTGGGGACGCCCCAGCTCTCCTCCCCGAAGGGTTCCTTGCAGACCCTAAAGGAGCACTGCCTGTGGTCTGGGCCCATAGCTGGGCCTTCGCACACTGCCCGTGCGCTGTGCTGCCAGTCCCATGTCCTCTCAGCCCCCAAGCAGATGGCCTGGCTCCACAGGCCTATGCCAGCTCAGCTGCAGGAAGCGGCTAATCCATCTCGTGTGGCTTTTCACAAAGGGTCTGGTTTGCGGCGCTTGGTCCCTAGCATGGGAAGGAATCCAGGGCTGGCAGGGGTGACCCCAGGACAGCCTCTCCCCTTTGGTGTGGATCTGGAATTCTGACCGAAGCTCTGTCAGCCTGACAAAAGGGGTGGGGGGTGGGGCGGGAGTGCAGCCTTGGAGAGCCGCAATCGGTGGAGCACAGTGGGCACCCTGGCCATCTCAGGGGCAGCTGGGGGTATGCTCGGAAACACGTCTGCATGCCCCCTCTCTGCCCCTCTTCCAGTCCTCACCATGTGGCAGGCACTTCACCAACCAGTCGGGAACCTTTCGGCAAGGATGAGGGACATCATGGCTTCACACCTGCCCCTGTGGGACCAAAAGATTTCTCGAAGCTTCTCACACAAAAACTGTGGAGCAGACGCTCCCTCTCAGACCACAGATCAGGATAGTGGTCTCCTGAACTGCCTCTGCAGAGGCAGGAAGAGTAAAGTCAGAAACCACGAAAGGCTGACAGGCCAGAGAGAGCAAGGACAGAGGGCCAAGAGAATCTGAGCCACAAGCAGGGAACAGGCTGGAGTCAGAGGAAGCTTAGCCTCTGGGCATATCCCACAGAGAGGCAGGGAGGGCCTCAGCACAGCCCAGGCAGCAAGCAGGTGGAGAGCCTCCTGTCAGAGCCTTGGGCCGTCTCCTGCAGCCCACTGTGGCCCAGATCTGTCCTTGGGCTTTCCCCGACTCCCCGAGGCCCACTGGGCAGCTGACGCGTTTCTCAGGGCCTCTCACCCCGGCCCCTCACTTTCCAGCCCAGCCCCCACTGTTCCTGCCATCGCCGTGTGCCCTGGCCTGCTTCCACCAGGCGGACACCACGTCAGGGGGGAGACGGAAAACAAATCAAACACCAAAACCTCTTCAGAGCTGCTTTTGAATGGAATAGTCAAAGTGAGCAAATAGATGCCACTTATATTGTTAAAATACAAATTAACACTTGACACTTTTCACAGCCCCTGTAAGTACGTGGCACTCTCGAGCCTGAAAAGAGAGGCCCTGAACACAGCGCACAGCTGACCAGGATGAAAGCTGTCCCTCAGGACAGAGCAGAAGGGAAAGCTGCTGGGAAAGGGGTCCTGTCTATGGAGGGACCCCTCACCCAAGCACTGATGAGCCTGTCTCCCTCTTTCCTCCAGGTTGACCTTTATAACTCTGACCCCCTCATCTGCCGGGCCGGGTTGAAGGTGTGCTTCGGCATCCAGCTGCTCAATGCCGTCTCACGGGTGGAGCGAGCCCTGCCCAAGCTGACCTTGCCCTTCCTGCTGCTCCAGGGCTCTGCTGACCGCCTGTGTGACAGCAAAGGGGCCTACCTGCTCATGGAGTCAGCCAAGAGTCAGGACAAGACACTCAAGGTGAGCAACTACCACCTGCTGCCTCCCCAGGTTGGGGGCGGGGGGAGAGGGGCACGGAGGAAGGCAGCCTCCCTTTGGGCTGCCCAGATCCCTGAGAGCTGCACCCCCACCCCACCCCTGGCATCTCAGGATGGGTCCGGCCTGGCCTGCTGGGAGATACATAAGTACAAGGAATCAGAGGAACCTATTAATTCTAAGAGAACACACGAGTTATTCTCTGATCGTTTTGTATGAATGAGCCTCAAAAGAAAAGGGAGAGAACAATCAGAAGACGGTATGGTCGGGAAAAGAACCCACAGCTGGGCATTCAGCAAGTCAAGTCTCCCTGGAGAATGTCATGACCAAGATCCAAGGACACGCTTGGTGCCCAGGCTCCCTCTGCACCAGCAACAGCAGCTGCCAGAGGGCTGAGGCACATGGATGCTGGCGGGTTGGGCGGAGCCTGATCTGGGGCGGGGGTCGGCAAAGGCTGGGCCTGCAGACAGAGGGCCCTGAAGACAGGTTCTGCAGCTCAATGATGCGGCTTATTAGGCACAGGAGACCACAGTGAACTAACCCCAAGGGCCTCTCAAAACGGACTGAGCTGTTCTGGGTCCAGACATGCTCATTTTGTTTGTCCGAGTGAGCTGGAAAGTACCCTCAGCTGGAGGAGGGAGCACCTCCTGAGTACCCCTCAAGGGATGTCTGACCCTGGAAGTGTTCTGTGCTGGGTGGGCAGATCCCAGGCCCAGGGCCACATTCACATTCTGGGTCCTCCCTGCACTCTGCTGCCCCAGCCTGTGCCCTGAGGGCCCAAGGCTGCTTTTCCCTGGGTTATAGAGTGGCTAATTCACTTCAGATCCCAACCCCACCAAGTGACGGTCAGGATTCAAACTCAGATCCTTGGACTTGAGCTCACTGTCCCTCTCCACCCCCACTGTGCTCACAAAGGCTGCTATCTTTGCCAGCTATCAAGAGCTTCCCTTGCAACCATGCTGATTTGCAGGCCCTGCCCCATCCCAACTACCAGCTACAGATGCACAGATGGACAGAAAGAAGTAAAAAAGAAAGAGAAAAGCAAGCTGGCTCATATTAACACTGGAGAGTCTAAAAACACAGTGGGCCCTGGTTGTGGTGGAACACGCCTGTAGTTCCAGCTACTCAGAAGGCTGAGGCAGGAGGATCACTTGAGGTCGGGAGTTTGAGACCAACCTGGGCAACCTATCGAGACCCTGTCTCAAAAAAAAGCTTTAAAATTAAAATATTAGCCAAAAACCCCACAGTGGAACCCTTTGCATTCTTCGGTGAACACAACTCAGATCACACCCTTACACCAACATGGAGCCTTGTTGACCCTACGAAAGGAGTCCACTGAGATCACTCACTTATTCATTCACTGAGCCATTCACCCATTGCTAGTTTAATTCAAGTATTTACTGGGCTCTGACTTTGTGCCAGGCCCAGAGAACAAGACAAGCAAAGGCCCTGCCCTCCCCTGGAGTCTTTATCATCCTCGTGGGATGAGCAGTAAACAGATACATAAGCAGGAGGGTTCGGGAGAAGGGGGTCAGTGCCCTGAAGGAGACAAAGCAGAGTATGAGGACGCAGGGACAGAGGGAAGGGAAAGCACCTGCTTAGGTGGGATGGACAAGTCTGAGATCTAACAGCAAGAAGGGGGGGTGGAAGAACATTCCAGACTGAGTGAGGGAAGAGCGAGTTTGAAGACCTGAGTCTAGGACGACCTTGACCTAGGCAAGCCGCCAAAAGGAGATCGGTGCCGTGGGAATGAGCCAAGCGGGTGTCTGGTGGGGTGGGTGGGGCACGGGAGCCCCACCACCCGAGACATCTGGACTTTTCCTCCTGGTGAGAGGAGAAGCTGCTTGAGTGTTCTGAGCCAAGGAGTGACATGCTGTGATTTCCGTTTTAAAAGCCTCCCTCCAGTGGTCACCGAGTGGAGACAGGAAGGCCCAGTAGGAAGATGGTGACAATGAAGACAGGGGAGGTCTGGCAGGGCTGTAGGAAGTGAGACCACAGTAGTGAAGCAGGGGTGTGGGCTTGCGGTCATGAGGAGGCTGCAATGCCCTATTCTGAGACGGGTGACACCAGACAGAGAAATGTGCTGGAGTCCTGTCTGGAGATACCCGCTGGAATCCCATGGGAGGTCTGGAAGATACCTGTTAGGAGCTCAAGTAGAAATGGCAGGTAGGCAGACGAGAGTTCAGAGGAGTGGTTTGGCTGGAGCTCTGAGTTGGAGTCATCAGCCACAGACTGGACAAGATTACTAGAGAGGAAAAAGAGGACACTGCCAAGGCCTGAGTCCAGGCCAGCCTGCAGAGGTCTTTGGGCAGTGTGGGCCTGAACTGAGAAGGGACTGCCATCCAGGCAGGAAAACAAAACAAAACAAAATACCAGGAGAGTATAAAGCCATGGAAAATACAAGAAGAAAGTGTTTCTAGAAGGTAAGGCTGATCAACTTATGAATGACACTAAAATAGTCAAAAAAGAGGAGAGCACAGTGTCCATTGGACATGGCGGCATGAAGGCCATTGGAGAGCTGGCCAAGGACAGCTGCCGTGGGCTGGTGGGAGTGGAAGTCAGGTTGGGATGTGCTGAGGACCAAACGGAAGGTAAGGATGTGAGACAGGAATGGAACGCCCTCTTGGGAGAAGGTTGCCTGTGCTGGAGGTTCAGAAACGGGTCTGTGGGTGGAGAGAGATGTGGAGTGAGGGATAGTTTGCACTTAAGAAAGTATTAGGACGTGTTGGGAAATTGTCATTCACTTGAACCATAATCTGATCAAAAGCTGTTGGCCTCTTGACAACGGAGGTCAGGGCCAAGTCCTCAGGGTGTAAGGGGAGGGTCCAGAGGATCCTGCAGCCCCTCACCCTGCCACGGCCTTCCGCCTACCCCCTGCCACTTCTGATGATGCAGCCCTGATTCCTTGTGTCTCTCCTAATTGCAGATTTACGAAGGTGCCTACCATGTTCTCCACAAAGAGCTTCCTGAAGTCACCAACTCTGTCTTCCACGAAATAAACATGTGGGTCTCTCAAAGGACAGCCGCGACAGGAACTGGGTCCCCGCCCTGAATACACTGGTCGGGTGTCAGGCTCACAGTCTGGGGGAAGCAGGCAGAGGAAGGGGAGAGACGGCCTCTCAGATGTGGCTTGCAAAAAAAAAAAAATCAGAAATTGGAGGAATCCCTAGCACAATTTACTTTAGTAAAACAAAACAACACACACACCACAAAGACATTTTGTGATATATTAGGCTATCGGCCACTAGATCTACCTTAAAGGGGTAGATATGTTAAGCAAAAAAGAAAAAAAAAAGGAAAAGGGTTACAGGCAATTTTCCACAGAGGAAATGTGCTGGAGCGTCCTTTTTTTAAAAGAGAAAAGCCAAGCCTCTACCCCACCTCTTCCAGCTCCCACAAGGTTCCCAGGGATTCCTGGTGTTCCTGGGACACCAGACTGCAATAATTGGGGGTCTCCCTGCTTCCCAGCCCCTCGCTCTCGCCCCAGTACCCCCTCTGACCAGCCTCACCTTGCTGGCCTTCCTCTCAGTGTGTGATGAGGTGGCTGGTGTCTCCGTGGAGGCCAGCTCCCCTGGGCAGAACAAACGTGCCCCTCCAAGGCCCAGAGATGCCTGGCACTTCCGCGAGATGAGCAGGTCCCCAGGCCTCTGTCAGCTCCTTTTCGGCCTGAGGCCGGATTTTGCAGAGGGAGGGGAGTGAGGCTTGGTCCAGAAATACAGCTAAGCAGGAAGTGGAGGCTCCTCTCCTCCCCCCATCCTGCAGGGAGAGGCTTAGGTTGCCCACTGTGTGCCCTGTATATTCAAAGAGGCTGCCTTTCCTTGAGTTACTAATTTTACCTGATGCTATTAGAGGAGAATTGTATTGAAGATGAAATGTCTAATATATAATGTATATTCTAAAACAGAGACTATTTTGGTGAGTGGGTGAGCTATCGTGCAGGGATGGACAGGCTAGGCAGAGGGTCCTGTGCTTCGGGAACTGAGCCGGCAGCCCCGGAGAGGGGACCAGGCCTAGGGCCCCTCTTGCTGCTCCAGGTCACAGAGCCGCCGCAGCCTGCAGGACCGTGGTCCGAGGCCTGTCTGTGGCCAGAGCCACCCGGGGAGCCTCAGTGCTGGCAGCACAGCTACCTCTGGTGGCAGGAGAAGAGAGCCCAGCACAGTGGCAATCCAGGCCTCCCTACCTGAGGCCGCACAGAGCCTTCGGCGACGATAGGGCCGGTTAGGCCAGGCCTCACCCAAGGCCAAGGCTGGTGTCAGCCAACCTTCCCCAGTGGAGGCCCTGAGTCTGAACTGCCCTTCCTAGTGCCAACCCTGCCCTGGCCCAGCCTTGGCCCCATTTGGCACCAGCAATAAATGGGGATCACCGTCCGCTTTGGGAAGGCTTTCACCTTCAAAATGGGACCTGTTACCTCAAGAGGCTTATTAGTGCAAATATGACCTTGGGTTGGGGGGTGTTGTCATCACTGAAGCCCCACTGAAGGTGCAATTCAGGGCCCCAGAATCTAGGAGTCGGGGACCCTTCTTGTAGCAGCAGGAACTGCTGCCCCTCACGCAAGCCCTGTTCTTCTTGAGGCTCATTCTGCGTCGCCAGCGAGGTGAGCCCCTCTACCCTCCCTCCAGTGACCCTGACCACACTATGGCAGAGTCAAGAACTGGTCAAGCTGGCTCTGCTGGAGCTCACTCTGTGCCCCAGGGGCCAGGGCAGAAAAAGCCACGCCCACACCCCATTACAGGGCAGGTGGAGGCCCAGGTGCTGACCAACCCCAGGTCCTCAAAAAAGAGCACCTTCCATAGGCCCATCTTATCTCTCTGGGAGAAAAAATTTTTTAAAATGCACTGACAGAGTAGTTCATCTCTCTCTGCTCAGCGAGCCCCGGCCAGCCGGGCAGTCGAGGGGATGGCTCTGCTTCTCACTAAGGAAAAGCAGAAACCCCATCCAAAGACTGAGTGATGCCGCTTGGCCAGATCTGCAGTTCTCACCAGGAGCTGAGATAGTGCAGGTCGCAAAAAGTCCACACACCTCTCGTCCCCGCTGCCTCCCCAGAAGCATACGGTGGCAATGCCATTTCCCAAATGAACATCAGGTACGTGGACTGACCAAGGATTCTTTTGGATGCGTGAATTTATGTACACGAAAGCGCTTCCAGAGACATATAGATTCGGTGGCATTTACACGCCTGGTTAAAGAATCACCAATATTAAAATGAAAGAAATTATCTGAGATTGGGGCTGCCTCATGTAATCTGGAAGAGGGAACAGGGGATGTCAACATGCTACCTTCTGAATCAGGAGCCAGCACAGGGCCCTGCACATGAGCTGTGCCTAACTTCTCACGCAGGGTCACTCCAGAGCTGTTGGGACCCCAGCTGTGCGAGCCTTGAACTGAATTCCTTCTCGATATTGATGGCTCCGTGCTGGCATTCTGAGCTTCAGAGAGTCATGCCATCCCAAGGGTGTAGAGGAACGTTGGCTTGGAAGAAGAACGTAGGCTACCCACGGCTTGGTCTTAAGAAGGGAGGGGAAGGCGAAGGCCAGGGAGGGGGGCCCAGAGACACAGCTGGTTCAAACCCTGCCTGGGACACTAGGCCCAAGCACTGATGGGAACACAGCCCCTTCCCTGGCAACTCAGAGGTGATGCCAGTCCCTACAGAAATAGGTTTCATGCCTGAGAATCTCTTTAGAAAAAGATGTCGCCTGCAGCCAGTGGGGGCCACAGCCCCACCAGGCTTTAGTTCTTTTGCAGAGATGGAGGGGTAGATGGGCAGCCTCCCTCCCTTCTGGCAGCGGCCCAGCTTCCCTGAGCTTCTGGGTGGTGCTGGGCTCACCGAGACGGCGCTGGAGGATGCTCAGATTCCCACCCCAAGCCCCACGCGGCTTCCGTCTCACACTCTGCTTCCTCTCACCTATGGCTAACATAAACCTTATAGGATCACAATGATTTTCCAAGCATTTTACTGGTTTGTTATCGTCACTGCAGCTCAGTCACATCCCTACGTGTATACTGTTAGTGGGGAACATATGTATCCGTTAGAGCTATTAAAGGAACCAATGTACGCGACAGCTAATCTTAATAAACCAGATGTTTCCCCAGTGGTGTTCGTCTGTCTGTCGCAGTGGCCTCTGATACTAATGCAAACATTCCTTGCCAAGAGAGCAACAGGCCCTCTTGCAAGGCAGTGCTGAGTGTCCGCTGGGCCCTGCCTGTGCCACGCCCGTCTCTGCCACTCACTCAAGCGGCGCTTCCGGGCCGGATCAGCATGTGTGCATCTCCCCTTCTCCCATCCACGCCAAGGGCTTCTGTCAGGAGATTTGTTCCCGGGTGCATCCCTTAGGTCCGCCCCCAGCTCCACCTTGGTGCAGCTCATGGCTTTCTCCACGGCCCCACAGGGGTGCCCAAGCTTGGGTCCTCACCCCATCTCAGATGGGGAAGCCCAGCTCTCCTGCTGTCTGGTGTTGCCCTTGACGCCTCTCTGTGTCCCACAACCACACCCGGCCTGGCCACTCTCCCTCCACAGCATCTCCAGAGTCACACTGCTTCCCTGCGGCCCAGCTGTCCCCACCACCTCCTGAGGGACAGCAACAGCAGCCTCCTCAGTGGGCTTCTGTCTCCTCCCAGGGGCCCTTCAGTCTGTTTCCACACAGCGGTGAGAGGGGACGGTTAAAATGCAAGGCAGACCGTGGCCCTTCTCGGCTCAAGAGCCTCCTGTGGTGCCCATCTCCCTTAAGTACAGGCCAAAGTCCTTACAGGCCCTTGACCCGTGGCCTCCCTGCCTCCCCGCTCCCCATCCTCATGTCCACGCGGCCCTTGCCACACCAGCCAGCCCCCTCTGGGGCATCTTCTCGGTGAAGCCTCTCCTACCCGCCCCCTCCCCCCACTTGCTTTTCCTCTGGCACATGTGTTGCCATCTGATGTGACATATGTTCTCCTTGTCCACTTGGTAGCTCTGTGCTCTCCAACGGGAATGTCCCACTGAGCTGCAGAAGGGCCTGTCCCTGCACTAGACCTCTGCTCCCCAGGGAGTCCCCAGGAATACCTGTCTAACAGGGCAAGGAGGGAGGGACTGAGTGAGTGCGTGAGGGAGTGTGTGACTGGAGGAATAAGTGAGGGAGGAGTGAGAAAATGAGTGAGTGAGGAAACGAACAGTGGATGAATGAGTGAGGAAAGAATAAGAGAGGGAATAAGGGAGGGAGGGAACGCGAAAGAATGCGGGAGGGAACGAGTGAGCAAATGAGAGGATGAATGAGGGAGGGGGGAGTGAATTAGGAAGTGACCCAGTGAGAGAATGAATGAGGGAACGAGTGAGCAGGTGAGTGAGTAAGGGGGGGGAAGAGTGGGAGAGTGCGTGAACGAGTGGCTGAGTGAGGAGGGAGGAATGGGAGAGAAATGAACGACGTCTCCCGGCCAGGCACTGAACTTGGCGTTGTGGGGTAAATGCAAGGTCAGCTTCGTGGCCCTGTGCGGTCACCTGGCCCCATGCTAGAAGGGCCACACATTTGGGTTAGTGCTCCGCTCTTGCTTTCTGGAAATCCTTGACACTTACGGAGCAGGGGCCCTGCATGTTGTTTTGCACTGGGCCCTGTGAACCTGCATGCAACTCTGGCTGGGAGACTGCCCAGCCTCTGTGCAGGGGTCCCCCTAAAAGGCACACAGACCTGAAGGACAGCCCGCTCGCTCCTAGCCTTATGCTCTACCGGCCTTCAGCCAAATTCTGCCCCAGAGTTCAGTGTGTCAAACCTAGAACAATGGCTCCTTCGGTCGGCTTTTCTAACCTCCTCCATGAACAGTCACAGATGTATAAAAAGCTCCTACTGGGCACCTGTGTTGTGTCAGGCACTGGGTCCAGCCCTGGGAGGAATGGCGACCAGAACAGAACGAGGTGGGCCAGCTCACAGAACGAGGACACAGGGCAAAGTGAACTCCCACCCAGAGCTTAACAGTAAGGGGCACAAGGCAGCCACCAGCCCAGCCTGCGGCTGCACAGCTCTCCAGAAGCCAGAAGATAAGCAGGAGTGAGCAGGCTTGGGGCCACAGCAGAGGGAGCTGGGGGCAAGTGTTAGAAGTGGAGAGAGCTTGAGTGGGTCCCAGGACTGAGAGGCTTTCAGGGAGGCTGGAGCACAGGGGCAAAGGGTTTGTTCAGTCAGGGTCCCTGCAGGAAACAGAGGGTAACCTCAGCAGCACCTACCCAAGGATCATGTAGTCAGAGGGGGCCAACAGGTGAGGTGGAGCGCCAGGGCCTAGCCCAGTGGGGAGCTGACACACAGAGTGATCTGCTGCTGTGGGAGAGGGGCCACCTGTCCAGGCTTTGGCTTTAGGTAGAGGACACAGTCATGACCGAGATGGAGACCTGCAGGTAGAGACTCCTTTTAGCTCACTGCTCAGCGGTCTGGAGCATGTTGGCCTTCAGTCACGGTCCAACATGGCTGCTCCAACTCCAGCCATGGTGTCTTCATTCCAGCTGGCAGGAGGGGCAGAAAAGGAAAGACGTGCTCATACACCTTTCCAGGGATAAAGCAGAAATTAGAAATTGCATCTAGTGTCTCAGATCACATCCGGAACCTGCTGGCATGGGCACAGTTAGATGCAAGGGCAGCTGGGAAGTGAGCCGTATGCCCGCTGAGAAATGAAGGGGAGTTCAGACGTCAAGGACAAGAGCAGGCTGTGTCACAAGAATGAAATGTGCACAGTGAGGCTTGCATCAAGGGGAGCCCCTTGATGACACCAACAGCAGCAAGGTGAGAGGACAGACGAGGTAGGGCCCTGACCAAGGCCATGGCTGTGGGGACTGAGAAGGGGAAGACGAACCAGCAGCCGCTGGAGAGGTAAAATCAGCAAGGTTTGGTGACCAACCTTGTTACTTGGAAGAGAACGTAACAAACACATATGTCTCCAGAAATCTCTGTAGATAAGAAAAGGTTACACGGTCTGCTCAAATTGTGCGTGTTATATATCTTCCAGAAAGGGATGGAAATTCACACTGGTGGAGACTGTTGAGAGTTTCATCACAGGAACTCCATATAATTTTCACACCAGCTTTGAGTGGCTGGTGGTGCTGTTCCCATTAGGACAAATAAGTAAACTGAGGCTCTAAGGGTTTCACTGATTTGCTCAAGGACTGTATGAGAGGCTGAGCTAAAACCCACATTGAGCAACTTTCAAATTTTGAACCACAAGCAGGGACCAGTATTGCCTGAGGGTGGCTTCCTGGCTCACTGAGGCCTGAGGCTCCCCTAGACCCACTTCCTCAAGTCCCTGCCTCTGAGACCTGCAATATAGGCATTACTTCCCCCAGGGGCCCCATAAAGTCCACATACTGGCACTGCAGAGATGAGAGGGAATGACATCCTTCAGGAAGAGGAAGGCGCTCGCCTTCCATCAAAACCCTGTCCCAGCCAAACTCCTGCCAGGTTCAAAGATTACACCTCAGGAAGCCTAGTACAGCAAGAAACAGGAAGCAGTACCTGACCACATGAGAAATCCTGCAGACCAAACACACCTACAGTCCTCAGCAGCTCCACAAACACTCCATACAGACCGCAAAAATTCAGGTATGATGCAATCAAAGAGCAAGACAAAAGATCAAGACCAGGGACACACAAAATAAAGATCAAATAAAACCCGAGGAACACACACAGGCTGGGATGGTGCACAATTAGGCTGGGATTAAACCAGCTGTCAGGGAGCTGTGGCCCTGGACAGCACATGAAGTACTTCCACTGTTGAGGATAAGAGAAGATTGAGTAGGGTTGGGGTTAGGGTAGGGTTTGCGTAGGTTTAGATTAGGGTTAGGGTTGGTATAAAATTAGACCTGGGGTTAGGGTTAGGGATAACAGAGCTGTGTTTCAAACCCAGGGCCTCTGTGTCAAAATGTATTTTCTTTTTAATAGTCTATTTTAACCTTTGTTAGAGTAGGGAACACTTACAAATTTAAATCAACTTGATCTTGGAACATGTATTATACACTAACTTTCAGATGATATCATTTTAGTCTAATGCTGCCGAATGGGTCTCTGCCACATATTTCACACACAGGCTTCACCGTTCCGTGGAGCTGGGCCTTGTTGGCTGTGGAGGGGTAACTGAGACCTGCAGGAGCCAAGCACTTGATCTAGGTGTTACAACTGGAAGGGAAGTTTCATGACAGGAAGTCTTGTGAGTTTGACTCTAGACAGAAGCTCTTACTTTGGTTCTCAGGACACAAATTAGTAGGGTGTCTGATAGGTGTCACATTTTCCCTAAGAACACAGTAAGGCTGCTTCCAATCCTGGCTGGAGTGCCCTGATGCTCTTTCTCCCACCCCAACTCTGATGCCAGCATCCAAACAGAAGCCTCTGCCCTGAGTTCCTCAGTCAGCTGCAGTGAGAGGGGACACAAGGCTTGCAGGAGTTTCCCAAGTAGAGAAAAGAACGAGCATGTGCAAAATCTTCGTGTCCTGTTCTATTTTTTTCAGGTGTGGCCTAGATCTTAGAATGTGCAGAGAAATCAATCCTTATGTTTCAGCCTACTTATATAGTTAATCCTCACTTATAACCCCACATTCCTATAATAAAGTAAAATTCTAAAAAAAATTAAAAATAAATTCTTATTTTTTTATTGTAGACTTGGCCCCCATACGCACTCTGGCTCAGGGCTGGCATGGGTGAAGCGAGTGAGGCACTCATCTGGGACACAACATCCAAGGGGCGCCAAGAATCCCAGTCATCGTGATAAACCTTATTTTACCGTAACAATTTCAAAAATCAAAATTAATGTAAAAACTTCGTAACGAACCAAATATCAACCTTTAAATAAAGACGAGTCAGTATTACTGACTTCCTTTGACCTCAGATTCCAGATGGCACCATCACTTGTCTTGTCTCACCTGGCCCCTGCCCCCACTCTTCTTGGTGGGGCTACAAGCCATCCCTGTGCTACATATCATGTGCAAAACTGAGTTTGCTGCCTTTTAATCACTGCTCCATTTGTCACTGTCCAACTGACTTTTCAATCTGTGAAAAATGAGGGGGTATCTTGAATTAGGAGAGAAAGCATATAATTTTTCCAATAAAATATAATGGAAATATTTTTCATTCAACAATAAATTTTTTTATTTGGAAGTAAGAATGAATTAAAGTTAAAGTGAGGGGCAGATTTTTTTTTAAATTCCAAAATTAGTACAGTTTAGTTCATAGAAACTAAACAGAAATAGGATCAAATGTCCCCAACTCATGCAGCAACTCTTCCTCTGGGTTAGGCATAACAGAGCCTTGTTTCAAACCCAGGGCCTCTGGGTCAAAATGTGTTTAGTCTATTTCAACATTTGTTCTACATTTGAATCGACCTAATGATGGAACTAATTTTATACACTAAGTTTCAAATGCTATCATTTTAGTTTCATGCTCCTGTCTGGCTCTGTCTGTGCTGTGGACTTCTCACATAAGCCTGGGGAGCACCCACAGCGCAGGCTGAATCACCTCGCTTTCCTCGTGGACGCAGAGGCCACACCAACCCGCATTATGGCTGCAGGAAGTTTGGGCACCCCCATTGGCTATCATTTCCTTCCTCAGTGACTGTGCACTGCTGCCGTGTGCTGTTTTTCCTGTAGACTTGCAACACTGTACTAAACACCTTCACACAAGGTGTTTCTCCATCACTCTTGTTTCTCTGCCTTCGACTAAAATGAGGAAGGCATGGTGCAGGGGGGATGCTGCCTACCCCCCACCACACGGCCTTGCTCTGGGGATAGGCTGGCAGTTCTGGGGATGCAGCTCTCCTTGCACGAAGGCCTCCGCTGGCATACCTGGCCATTTTTGCTGTTGCAGTAGACCGTTAAAATATCAATCCACAGTGGTTTTGCTTAAACATCCCACTAGTGTTTTTCCTTAAAATCTGCTCAAAAAGCCGGGCTCAGTGGCTCAGCCTGTAATCCCGCGCCTTTGGGAGGCTGAGGTGAGTGGATTGCCTGAGCCCGTGGCTTCGAGACCTGCCTGGACAGCGAGACCTCATCTCTACAATAAATCAAAAAATCAGCCGGTCGTGGTAGCGCATGCCTGTAATTCTGGCTACTTGGAAGGCTGAGGCGGAAGGATCACCAGAGCCTAGCAGGTCGAGGTTGCGGTAGCCGGGAGCGGTCACTGCACTCCAGTCTGGGCGACAGCGTGAGACTCCAACTCAAAAAAAAAAAAAAAAATTCTGCTCAAAAGTGGAAACTTTATGATTTCAGATAACATCTGTAAAAAAAGACATGCCTGGTAATCAAAAAAAAATTTTTTTTTAATTTTTTTTATTTTTTTTATTTTTCCATGCTTATCAATTTGTTATTTATTTATTTCATTCACAGTATTCTTAAAAAATTTTTTTAAAGTAGGATTTATTAAGACAGAAAAGCTACCACAGTGGGAGAGGACCTGAAAGAGGTTGCCCAAAATTTTTTATTTAAACAACTAAATCTCTCACATATCTTAGCATTTCTAAGATTAATGTGTAGTCTGTGGTGAGACCTGTTGGTTAGGTCATTAGCCTTCCTGTCTTGTGTGCCCCGAGGCAACCAGAACTTTCTAAAATGCCAGGCTGTCCCTATCATTCCCCTGCTCCCACCTCCCACTGGGTTCAGGATAAACCAGGTGTTCTGCTGAGCCCTTCTCACCTAACACCAGCCAGGAGGGAGTTATAGTCATCATCCCCAGTTCACTGGGAAAAGCAAGGCAGAGCCACTATGCACTAGGCCTCAGCTGAGCCCTGGGCTCTGGCCATGCAGACCCCTCCCGGTTCAACTCCATCCCCAGCTGTTCTGGGCTCCCAGGCCCTTACACAAACCATGCCCTCCCCACGGCAGGCCTATCCCAAGACACCTCCCCTCCCACTGTTCCCACAACTCATCACTCTCCTCCCTGACTGTCAGATGACTTGTCCCAACTGACGCCTCAGGCCTTACAGCTTCTCCCATGTGGTCACTTCAGGCCTTACAGCTTCTCCCATGTGAGCAATATGCAAGAGAAATATGGCTAAACATGCACTGGGAAATAAAAGGAAAAAATCCAAAAAGTTCTGCAAATGACAAAATAAAAAGGCATGGAGAACAACCACAGAGTAAGCCGAGATACTTGCTATTAGAAGCCATGAGAGAACCTTTCCCACTCAGGACTGTACACGCCGATCTGAACTGAACTGTGTGAAAAAGCAGAACGTAGCTGAGAAAGGCCTTGGGGCCCAACGGGGAGGGGGTGGGCTGCAGGCCTGAAGGGCACCGAGAAAGCCCCTGTTGGGGCTTAGAAAACAATACCCCAAAATGAAGTCCTTGGAAGCAGCCTCAGAAGCAAACATTTTTCTCTGAACTTCTCCCTCCTGTCTCTAATCCCATCCTCCCCAGAGGCTAGTCACAGAATCTAAAATTCCTCTTCCTCAAGATGGGTCACAGAAACCTGCCTTTCCTGAAAGCCAGCCACAAAACCAGAAATATTACTTTCTCTCCACCGAATCTGTATAAAAAACTGCCATAAAGAAATTATCTGACCTACGTTGTTTGACTGTAGGGCACAAGGCCCCCATTCCAGAGAGGGCCCTGGCCCTTACCCAGGAGGGGATACATGCTCTAGAGGCCAAGAAGAATCTAGACAGACAAGCCTTGCTGGGTTTCCCCACTCCGTCTATTAGCATTAGATCACACTTTTGCCCAATCACATTTCTACATAGTTGTCCATACTTTGCTGAACCTAAGCATAAAAACAGACAACTTCCCCTGTATCTTTGGGTCTTCATTCCTGTGTATACAATGTAAATACATGTGTATGCCTTTTCTCCAATTAATCTGCTTCTTGCAAGCTGGTTTTTCAGTGAACTTTCAGAGGGCCAAGGCGGAAGCTGTCTCTTTGCCCCTACACTCCCAGCTTCCCCTGATAAGGTCACAGCCCCTGCAGGAAGGGCCAGAAGGGCCTCCCTGGAGGGGGAGACTGGCCCTGAGCTGAAGGAAAATGGCTGTTTCAGTCCTCAGCCCTCTTGCACGAGGCTCACCACAGCCAGGAGCCAGTCAGGTCAGGAAAGGAGGGAGGCAGGCTGGGGTCGGCGGCAGATTCCAGCTCTGCTTGCCCGGCGGCCCTGGCCTTCCAGCTCTGGACTAGCCTCTGCTGGTCGTCAGGTGAGGGAGCCTGAGCCCCGATTCGAGTTCCTCCCCTTGCTCCTCACCAGCTCCTGCTCCAAAAGGCCCCACCCTTCCCAAATGGCACCTCGGACACAGACTCGGGCTCTCACAGTAAATTCAAGCTTTATTGCCACACACAGCCTCTCCCAGCCGTCCTACCCGGCATTGTGCACAGGAGCAGCTGGCTGGAGAAGCAAGCCAGGGCAGGGCCAGGGCCAGGAGGACAGGGTGAGGGAAGGGGATCTGGGGGAGGGAGGCGCTAAGAGAAGAAGGCCTACCTCTACTGCGGGTTTTCCTGAGTGGTGCGCAGCCCCAGGGTCTTGGGGGCTAGCATGTGCATTGGGGAAGAGGGCTCATCCCAAAGACATCCTCCCCTGGGGTCCTCAGGCTTATGGAGGGAGAGGAGACCCACTGAACCCCCTCTGCCTACCGTGATGTCCTCGAGTGTGCAAGGAGCAGAAAGAACAGCTGCACACACAAACATGCACACAGGCTTGGGGCTGCCGGGGCAGTGGGCAGGGGCTCAACAGTCCAGGCCGATAGACACCAGCAAGTCCTCAAGAGCCTGCAGTCGCTGCTGTGCCTCCTCGATGGCACTGTATGTCTGCACCGTGCTGGCCACGTGGAAGCGGATGTCGTCCACCAGCGGGATGGAGTCCGTCTCCTGTCGGGCTGCCACGGCGGCCGCTTCCTCCCTCACTGCCTCCGTGAAGTCCTCTCGCTCTACCAGCTGTGGGACTGGCCGGCTTAGCACAGAGGTGTCTGCTCTTGCAGCCCTCTCACCCCACCCCAGCACCGCTGGCCCACCTTTTCAATGACCTTGGCCATGTACTCAGTGCACTGGTCCTCGAGCCGCGCCAGACGGAACAGCTTGGCTACGCGCCACACGCCCACCACGCTGTCCTCATCCAGCAGCTGGGCCAGGCTGCGCCCACACAGCCTCTTCAGGCCCGGCAGCAGGTACATGTCAGCCACACTCAGCACATCATAGGCTGCCTCGGGCGGCAGCTGCAGTAAAAGGAGGGGTGAAGGTGTACCCCAAGGTCACGAAGGGCTCCCAGGGCCCAGCGGCCAAGGCAGGGTACCAGCTGAGGGGAGAGCAAAGGCTTCAGGTCGGAGCAGAAGCTCCCTGCCCTGGCCCCTGGGGCTGGCCCAGACTCCAGCAGGGATCTGTGGGACAGCGAAGGGGCTGGAGAGACTGGGTGGGGTGGGCGGGAGGTCCCCTGCCTTGGGCAGCTGGTGGGCAGGGGGAGAAGCAGGGCCTCAGAGGGGAAAGAGCGTGAGCTCTGAATCACACAGACCTGGGTTCTGACACTTCCCACAGCTGTGGGACCCTGGGCAAGTCACTTCACCTCTCTGTGCCTCGGCTTCCTCGTCTGTGAGGTATAGATAATCATATCTGCCTCGAAAGGCTGTTAGAAAAATGAGACAGAAGTTGCTCTCAAGACTGAGGCAAGGAGTCTGTCAAGGGTGGGGTGCCATTCCCATGGGGTGGGGGGAGAAATTGAGTCTGTGGGGATTTGGAACACACCTAGTTACATAGCGTGCTGGGAAAACCTTAAGTGCCCAGCTTCTGTCCAGGCTCTGGAGAGCCAAGGGAGCAGGCTGGAGACAAAGATGAAGGAACTTTTGACACCACATTCAGGCGAGGTGCCCTGAGCTTACCGTGTACTGTGCCCATCTCCTTTTCCTGCAAGAACCATGCATCTGCACAAGACCTTACAAAGCGATGACTACTGCTATCCCCGTTTTCTAAGGGCACAGAGCAGTTAAGTAACTTGCCCAAAATCACACAGCTCATCCCGTGTCACACAGTTAATCCAGCATCAGCCCAGATGCTGGAGTCCAACCCATGCTCTGGAGTCCAACCCATGCTCTGAGCCATAAAGAAGGTGCCCTTGAGGTGGCAAAACTCCTTTAGGAGGGAGCTGCTCTGGATGGGCAAAGGTGGATCCCAGGTAGCAGGGGTGAGAGAGCTGGGATGAGCTGGTGGAGAAATGAGGTAAAGGAGATGGGAGAGATGGGGCCAGCTGAACCCAGGGAGGGAGCCCCAGCTGCGGGGTTGGCACAGCAGGAGACTGTCAGGACGTGGGAGAGGGAGCTACAGGAGGTGAGTGAAGCCTGATGCTGCAGCACAGACTCCCATCTGCCATCTGTCCCCAAACACGCTTCTCCCCTTCCCCCACAGGAATAGGGACCTGGCCATAGAATGGGTTTCCCAGCCTCCCTTACTGACTGGCAAGTATAGCCACAAAGTTCTCTCCAGTGGAATGTGAGAAGCACTGGGTGCAACTTCCAGTGACCTATGGAGAAGAAACTGCTTGCCTTGCCTTCCTCTTCCCTAGAGCATGAATTTGCCTATGACCCAGTATCCATATGCAAAGGACGTGTAACCCAGGGCAGGGTGGGAAAAGCACGGCCAGTAAGTCAAATTCAGCCTATTGTGTGAATAAAGCTTTACTGGAACACAGCTACACCCCCTCGTCTCTGTACTGTCTACACCTGCTTTTGCATAGCTATGTCAGAGACCCTATGGGCCACAAAGTCTAAAATGTTTACCTTTAGAGAAAAGGTTTCTGATGGAGGGGACAACTTGGGTCCCCAGCAAGCCACCTGCCTGGGCACCCACCTCAGACATAAAGGAGAAACAAACTCCCCTCTTCTTAAGCCACCATATTTGGGGGTCTCTTTACACACACACTCACTCATTCTCATCTCCCCTGGCAGAGCAAATCTTCAGCACTCTCTGCTGCTACCCATGCGGTCTTGGGTTAGGGATGCCATGGGGCAGCTAGAGACAAAGGAAAGCAGCCAGGGAAGAGGTGACTAGAGAACCCAGAACTCCATGGATCTGCAGCAACCCAGAGGCAGGAGCTCAGGGCTCCCCATAAGGAGAATTCAGGGTTACTGTCTCCACTCACCTCCCACTGGAAAAGCTGGGGACCCCAAGAAGCTGACAAGATACCCCAAGAGTCATGTGCCCACGATATGAGTTTTATCACTCATTCCTGCTCTGGAACCTACAAAGGCCCCCTCTGCCTGAAAGAAAAACCCAATAACCTTCCTTTCTCACTAGCCTAATCAAAACCTCACCCCGTGGTTCAATCAGGACTTTCTGCAGGACCCTGGGGTCCAGGCACTCCCTTCTAGCTCCATGGCTGCACATCCATGGGCCATCCCGACACCCCACCCGAGCCCCGCACCTCAGTATGGTCGCTATACATGTAGTAAAGCACATGGGTGAAAATGTCGGGCGAGATTCCGTGCAGGGTGACGACTGGGGGGTCCCCTGAGGCCTGTGGTTCCTCACTCTCTCGGAAGTGGTCATCCAGCAGGGCCCGGAAGTAGTCACTGCGGCCGCAGAAGAAGGCCTGGGGGAGGCTGGGCTCAGGAAGTGCAAGACCCAGAGTCTGTCTCCTGAAGACTGAGATCGGGGCTCAGGGCAGGGGGCTGGGGTCAGAGGGGAAGAGGAGGGGACAGGCACCTTGTGGCAGAGGAAGTTGCAGCCAGTCACTCGGAAGCAGACATCAGGGCAGCTGTTGAAGCTCTCTGGACAAGGGAAGGGCAGCTCCCCAAGATCACCCTGGGGCACAAAGTCAAACCATCAGCGCAGAAAGGTTCACAAAAGTGAACAACTAGGTTCAGAAAAGAAAAGCGAGTGGCGCAGGTCACACAAGGAACTGAACCCAAGTACCTGGGGCTTGCCCATCACAGCCCCCTCTGCCAAGACACCCCTCCTGCCCACCAGGCCCAGCCCACCCAGACTGACACTTACTCGGAGCTCTGGGGGCAGGGCACAGTCAGCCAGCAGTGCCATGTCCTCCCGGAGCCGGGGGTCTGCCGAGGGGGGCTCAATGGTCAGCACCTTCACACACGTGCCTGGCTTGGACGCTACTAGAGGAAGAGCAGCTTCAGGGAGCCAGGCCAGCCCTGCCAGGTCTCACGCAAGGCCCTGGACCCCAAGCCCTGCACGCACCAAACTCAGACACCTTCTCACACTTGGCCTCCAGGTCGCTGAGCAGGTCCCACAGCTGGCACTGCTTGGCCAGGCGCTCACAGTCACTGACGTGTTCTACACCAACGTCCAGGCGGCCTGGGGGCAGAGTGGGAGGATCAGGGCCTCAGCGGTCACAAGCACGCAGTTTCCCAGGTGGGGTCCCCTTTTACCTAGCCACCTGACTGTAAGGCTGGGACTCCTGGGCCTACTGGCTGCTTTGGTTTCCCCTTGAGAGCTACCATCTGAGTTCTACAGGCACTAGGAACAGATGGGAGAGGACTCAGTTTGTGGGTGGGACAAGCTTGAAACCATCCTGGCTGCAGGGAACAACGAGATGCCTAAGGTGAAACATCAGCTCAGCCACACCTGGGTCTGCTGCTGCCGTTAAGAAAAGTGGCCCATTCCCCACCTTCCCACCCTGGGCCCAGGGGATCACCTGTGTACAGGTACTGCAGCAGGGCCCCAAAGGCCACGGGGTTGATCTGTGAACAGAGAGACAGCCACCTAGCACAAGCCCCCTGTTGTCCCTGAACAGTCAGCACCCCTCTGCCACCCTGGAGGGACACACCAGCGGGTGCCTGAGAACCACGACACTTTTGCCCTTCCATTTGGTGTCCAGCATGTTGGCAAAGTAGGTGCTTCGTGCACCAAGGACGCAGCGATGCGCCCGGAACGGCTTCCCATGTACCACAAAGACCACGTCGCTATGGATCCCCTGTTCCAGAAGCCTAGGCAGGGGAGAACCGGGAGGCAAGATGCTTAGCAGGGCCCCATCCTATCTCTCAGGAGAATCCTAAGTCCCATGCAGGCCACACCCAGAGCCAACCCATTGTGCCCACCCAGGGCCACCATACCCCACCCATGCCCTGACTCACCGCTGCAGGAAGTCATCATAGTAATCCCGCCTCCTGCAGGAGGCTGTGACCTGCTTGTAATCACGCAGAGCCCGGCGGATGGCGTCGCTCAATGCCCCATAGAGGCAGCGCTCGCCATCGAAGGTGTTGGCCTCACAGCGGGCTCCTGGGGGGTGGCAGGGCTCACCAGTCAGCAGGGCCAGGGGCTGTGCACTGCAGCTGGGGAGGAACCTGGGGGAAAATCCTAATTTCCCTACCCCTCCTCCCCACCTTCCCACATGGAGCCCGAAGCTCTGGAGACCCCTTTGCAAATTACTCTGGGCCGACTCTGACCCCAGCATCCTCCCCAAGGCCTAGGCACTCACACAGGCACATATTCACCCACATGTACCACAGACTACACAAAATTGAGAGTAGACTGTGGCTGGTGCTGTCCTATGTACTGGGAGCACCGCAGTACACAAAATGGAAAGGTTTCTGCACTCACAGAACTTACTCTCTAGCAGGGCAGGATGCTGAATAGGTTAACAAGTGATGACAGGGACTATTAAAAACAACTAAGCAGAATGAAGGGTGACAGTGGTGGTGGCTGCCACACAGGGAAGCCATAGGAGGTCACTCTGATGGTGACAACAAGCAAAGACCTGAATAAAGCGAGGGAGTGGGCCCCGTGATGGGCAGCCATAGCAGGAAGAGCTGCAAGTGCAAAGGTCCGGAGGCAGGAGGAGGCTGGGCAGAGAAGAGGACCAGAGAGAAGGCCAGTGTAGCTGCATAACAAGCAAGTGGGCAAGAGGCCAGGGGAGGGGCAGACTCTGTAGGACCGCATAGGCATGGCCAGGTGGTCTAGTTTTACCCTAAATGCACTGGGAACTTATTGGAGGATTTTACACTGATCAGATTCATCATGGAAGATCAACCCAGTTGCAATATGAAGAACAGAGTATAGGTGGGGCAAGAAGGAAAGCTGCGTCCAGGTGGTAGTGGGGTGGACGGGGAAATGGACGACGCTCACCGTTGGCCAGAAGGTAAAGCACCAGCTCCTCATGCCCACATAGGCAAGCATAGTACCTGAGGGAGGGAAGGCATTCGGGAGGCAGTCGTCAGCACCCAAGGGTCCATCCTGTGCATCCTACCCACCCAGCTGACACTCACAATGGGGTGCTGTCCCACTTGTCCCGCACGTTCACCTCCACATCTCGCTGTTCCAGCAGGTACCTGGGTGGGAAAGAGGTCAGAGACTGGGTCAGGACTGGTTCATGGTCCGAGAGAGAATGCCCGAGGAAGGAGAGGAAGATGGGAAAACACCCCTTTGAGCTGAGGGAAGTCTCCTTCACCTGAGGGCAGGTGATGGGCAGACCAGAGCAGGAAAGGCATTCAAAGGAGAGGGCAGACAAGGGTGTGGAGATGGGGTTGCATAGGCAGACACTAAGCGCCAACAGCAGCCAGGTTGGGGAATGATGGACTGCAGGGGCAGAGGTCAGGCCCAGAGCTGAGGAGCCTGAGATGCTGGCCTTTCAGCATTTGGGGCAGAGAGAAGGTAATGGGGCCTCAACTCTGGCCAGAGCCCTTTGGCTGTATGGGGCAGGAGGTTGGTCCAGCTAGAGGCAGGGAGCCCAGAGGGAGGCTGCTGCAGGCATCCTGGTGGTGTGAAGAGTATGGGGAGAAGGGGACAGATACCAGAGTAGAAGATGCAGGATGTAGTAGCTGACACAATAGGGGAGGTGAGAGAGATGAATCACCGATGCTGGTAGAGTCATCACTGAGAGGGGGGCAGCCCCAGGGAGCCAGCCAGGTTGGACTCAGTGCTCTGAGTTACATTCAGCTTTGGGGTTAGTCACTAACTCTTGGGCGGCAGGCACCTGATGCAGGGAGGCTTCAGGAGTAAAGCAGCTTGGGGCCAGCCCAGGGGAGGTTAGAGGCGGTCCGTCAACACCAAGGAATGGGGAAGGAAAGGCCAAAGAGAAAGGAGGCCAACGAGGGAAGGGTGGAAGGCGAAGGAAGAGAGATATCCCCCAAACCAACTGGGCACCCCTTCCTTCCCCATCTGGCCCAAGACAGTAGCGATATCAGCGTCAGCTTCGTTTTAGCTGCATCATGAGTTTCTGCATCCCCGGCGCCCAGAGGCTGACTGTGGGATCTGGATGTGCCCAATGCCAGGTCCAGAGAGTATCAAAGGGGCCTCGTCTGGAGTCCTAGACCCGCTTCCGAGGGCCCGACATCCAAGCCCTACTTGATCGAAGGCCTTTCTCTCAGCCCACTTGGTGCCTCCGCGGAGCAGTCCCCTCCTCCAGGAAGCTCTCCGAAGGTCAATCGCCATCAGCATCCCCGTGCCGCGCGCTCCGGTTCCGACAGCTGCCGCGACCTCTGGACACCCCAGGCGCCCGCGGCCGGGTGGTCGAGGCCCCAGTGCCGTGCGCTCCGA